CCAATCACTCTCTGTTCTCGTTTTCTTCGATCTTCTTAACCTTCTGCCGCTAGGTATCTCACTTTCGATTGAAGATACATACTACTTATACCTGTCGGTATCAGTAGCACACACAACAATGTGAGTGCAAGAATTAGCAAGGATGTTCCTCAGGTTGCGCATAAATCACTGGCCAATATAAGTGTACAATTCTGCCTATCAAAACTTCCATCTAGGTTTATCTTTTTTTACAAATATAGTGGTTCCCATTATCAGTGAATTAATAATTTAAGGATATAATGTTCCAATCAGTGCTAACATTTTACCTTATCTTCAATGACAATACTAGTGTAGTGAACAAGAACACGAATGCGAATAGTCGAATGTACTTGAACACAGCATTACAGAACATTTTAGTAATATCTGGGAATCATATAGTAAATACTTAATTTTCAAAGTATCAATCACTTGTCACAAACTTGGCTGTTCCTTTTGAATATATCAATCAATCGTCTCAGATTTCATTATTCTTTTATTTCCACATCAATCATTCTTTGTTCTCGTTCTCCTTTCTTCGATCATCTTAACCTTCTACTGCCCGACATTTCACTTTTAATTGATGACACATACTACTTATACCTGTCGACATCAGTAGTACACATCACACTACTAATGATAATTCATAATAAAAATAATATCAACTATTGGATATTCTACAGTATTAAGAAATCCTTAGAACAATATATAAACCTAAATAACATTAGTCATAATATTGACAATATAAATGATTAAACATAATGAAATGTAACTTATTTATTAATGTCATTATGTACTTCATATAAACTTTCTCGTATGCTGACACTTATGTACTGAAATTGAGAAATATAAACAACGTTGCACACACATGTGGCAAAAACACCAATGTACTTTAAACTTGTAACGTGGAAGCACCAGAGGTATAACATCAATCGGTCCATGATCTCTATCAAAAACTCAATAATCTCCACAAACCTCATACTGATAATAATTACCATGAGTTCGCTGGTGACTGGCTTCGTGAGAGAATTCTCAGAGTTCTAGTGAGAAGACATGATCAGTGGAGCTAGTCCGTGTCGGGTAGAGACAGGTATCTACCTCAGTACAATGGAAGATGGTCACGCGATTACGTGGATTGTTTGATGTTGGACATTAACACCATTGGATGCTGGTTGGCTCAATGGTCTAGAGTTTAAGCGTTCGCGCGCGACACCGATGTCCCTGTATTCCAATCCTGCGAGCGGGATCGTGTATGCGTACTGCTGAGGAGTTCTACAATAGGATTAAATGGCCGTTCAGTGCTTCCATGTTCTTAATGTTGGTCTAACATCAATCGGTTCATGATCTCAATGAAGAACATATTAATAATCTCAACAACCCTATACTGATAACTTATCATTCATCATACTTTATGAATGAATTGTATAATTCATCACCACACTATATCTATAGATCAATCAATCAATTATTTTAGGTCTGAAAAAACTTCACCTGGTTAACCATCTAGTTATGGCATATGAATTATTACATAATATTAGTTTATGTACTGTACAAAGTACCACTTAATACATATCACTTAACCAATTGATAGAATAAAAACATTATCTTGAACTATCCAATTTAATTGAGACTTATAACTGATAAATCAATGCAGAGATAACAATTTTTCGAAAAAAAAGGATCCGTTCATTTCTGTGTAATAATAAGATCCAACGTATTTAGCTGCCTATGTAAATGGATATGTGAGTTAAGACTAATGGAATCAAATTACTAGATAGTTTATTCCCAGTTTGTTTCATTAAAGTACAATCAGTCAGTGAATTATGATTGATTTGTTTCATAATGTAATTCATAAATGAATTCGGCAAGACTATAATTTATGAACGAACCAATCATGTATAAGATAATAGGTCTTGGATTTTGATACGAAATTCCTTAAACCATTTGGCTAAATAGAGTTTTGGTATTATAGCTGATGTCAGTTCGTGAAGAAAACCTTAAATCTATTTCTTAACATTAAATATCAACTGTAAATCAGAATTCGAATTTCTCACACTAATTTATGACCACCATTTAGTCCTAGTTACTAAGTGGACTTTCTCAGGGCCACTTTAGCATCGCTCAAAGGTCATCCATAAATTATAGACCCACCAGTAATTCAATTAATAAAAATGTATAGAAGTGTTCAATTGCTTGTTAGTTTTGTACTGTCTTAAAGAGACTGTTAGTATGCATGTGGGAATATTAAATAAATAGGAAATCATCTCGAGGAATAGTGAATACAGTAAATATTTACAAAGTTCTATAAATGTTCTGATTCTATGATTTCTATAAAAATGTTAATCGTTTTGTAGTGAACAAGAACTCATATGGGGTAAATCAATTTATATCTGTCAGCATAAATAGCATACACCACACTCATCCTCTTTTTAAACTATCGCTCCTGAAGTTGTTCTGTTCATTCTGCTACTTTTTTCTTTGCCGCAGTCTATGCCATGCTCTCCGTCGGAATGTTAAGTTCACAAGCGCGCTGGCATCTGTACCTCTGTCAACCTGCCAGGCCACCTAAATCCAATGTTCACCCAGCATCCGAGACGACCCACGTCTTCCCCTTATCAACAGCGATTACTACATCCAACACTCCACTTGATATCTTCTTCCTGGGTCAGACCGTACCAACTAGCGACTCCTCTCCAGGTCCTGCTAAAACGCCTTCCAAATAATTCCCTTCTTTCCATTTCTCCTTAAGCGGTGACATCAAATGTAGTGAACGAGAACTCTGGTGTATGCTATTTACGCTGATAGATACAAATTGGTTTTTCTCACCTTAGTTTCATGCAACAATTGAACAAATACCAAAAGTAATTAACCTACTCCTATTGATTAGTGATTGTTATTAGATTCGCTTCATCTATTACACTGTAAATACAAACTAGTCAGAAAAGAAGCAACTACCCACCGATGAGATTGTTTAAGGATTATTTTTTGACTGTAAACTGAATGAAACCATAAAATACAAACTACTAACATCTGATTTATTTTCTCAGTGATATCATTTACGGGTTTATCTTTCAATCTTCTATTCGAAATGTCTATCCATTAATGCAAAATTGTAAGCTTTTACTATATGATAGTTCACTACTCTATGCATCAAGTAATCTGCAACTGATATCAATTCTTAATAAATCTATTACTAAGGCAAACAAATACATAAAAATCCCTTTCAACTAGATTGAAGATCAATTCTATTTTCCTTTATTTAACTTACGTAACCCATAGTAACACACATACACGTATAATAGAGTAAGTTAAAATTTAATATCATTAAGGCATAATAAGTAAGTATTCTAATCTTTTACAATTTGAATGCATGTTTAAAATAAATGAGATTTATCAATTGATTTTTCCAACTTATTAACCAATGAACTAAGAAGACGAATTTCTTTGTATATCCTCAAGAAGTGTGGATTTTACATGTGTATGTACATACTAGACTACATTTCTTAATAATAATAATAAGACGTAATATTATTCCATAAAGCCGCTTATTGTTAGCAATAAACAAGTAACCTTATTCAAGATAGTCTATTCTGAACAAACAGATAATGCTAGACTACCATTGAAAATCTGGAAGCACTGGACGGCCGTTTCGGCATGGTATGGGACTCTTCAGAAATGCTCATCGACAATCCCGCACGTGGGAATCGGACCAAGGACCTTCGGCCTCACATGCTAATGCTTAATCCTTAGACCACTGACCCGGCATCCAATGGCGTTAATATCTAACTTCAATCGATCTATGATCTTGCGCAACCCTTTGAAGTGCTGGCTTAGTAGTCTAGAGGTTTAGTGTCCACGCGCGAGACCGAAGGTCCTGGATTCCAGTCTCACGCTCGGGAACGTGGATGTGCATCTCTAAGGAGTTCCATACTGTGACGAAACGGCCATCCAACGCTTCCAGGTTTTTAATAGTGGATTAATTTAGATGGACTCATAAATTCAGCTAATTTGAATAACATAACTCTTGCAATAAGAAGTCCACACTTTGTGCCTTTCTTAGATGTGGGAAATCAATCTATATGTCGCACAGCAAATGCAATATTTGTAAATATATACTATCTCATAGATATTGCATTTACTATCATATATATAAAGACATATTCTAGGGCTTATTATTATAATCATTAAAGATATGAATTTAAGTGAGATTAAGCTTATAACAATTTGATTTGCGATTTTTTCAAATAACTGATAATAACTTGATAGTTTTTTTTCAACAAGGCTGTTACACACCAAGATTGATTGCTTGAAGGCAATCAGCAGACGTTTTAAAACCTGGTTAATATCTGATTGATGCTTTCTAGCAAAATGCATTTATGATCCTGAAGAAACTTGTTCATCTTAAGGAATTCGAATCCATGTTGCATAACATCAAAAAAGTGACGGTACAAGAGAATTCCATAGATCTTCATTGATCGTTGTTTCTTGTTGCGACTGAAAATTTAAAATTCTTGACATTACTCACGCCGTTAGTGCAAGATATCATATTATGGCTTCCAGTGTTATATTTAAACGAAAATATAAATCATTATAAGTAAAGATGGATGGTGGCTAACATTGGAATACAGAAAGCACGTTTCACTTTACTTAGAACTCGTCATTCGGATGTATCTGTATCCCAGAATTGATGTCCCGGAGTAAACATCAACCTTGGGATGAAGTACATCCACCTAACGAGTCTCAAATAGGACGAAACACATATCAAACTAGATTCCTCTAATAACCACTATCCACCTTTGCTTATAAAGCTTGTGATTTAAAGCGATATCGAGGCAATCCGCACAGTATGCACATATACTAACAAGAGACTGATCATTTACAGTCCTAAACATCAATGAGACGATCCAAGTAAACAATACCAAGTGAATCCAAGTTATAAATCATTAATACGTATTAAACACATTGAAAAAAGACACTAGTCTTACCTTTTATATTCAGATATATGAATGTATACAATATTATCTACAGACATTATTCATTATAATTCATGTAAAGATGTTTTAAAATCTTCTGACCATTGACTGTTATCTTCAATAACTAATGTATGCGGTTTTCTGACAGAACAAGCTAATGGTGGTCTACCATGACCTAATTTTCTTTTATTTCTACGATAATTAATAACTGGTGATTTTTTAATTTCACGTAATGGTGCTGGTGATGATTGTCTACTAGAAAGACGATTTCTTGAATTATACATATATTTATATTCTCTTTCTTTTTGTTCATTCATTTCTGTTGTATTCACAGCAGTTGATGAAGATGATAATGATGATGAAATGAATGGTGGAATTAATGTTTGTGAAGATGATTTTTTTATTTCTTTATCATGATAAAGTAATGGAAGATTGATTAATTGATGATTCTTTCGATTTCTATATGGAATTGATGTTAGTTGTTGATTCAATTCAATTGAAAGACCATTTAATGAATCGTTTAAATTACGTTTACTATTTTGTAAATCTAATCTATTAGCTAATGATACTCTTCCATTATGATAACCATTACTATTATTACTATTATTATTATTATTATTATTATTGTTTAAGCCATTCCTTAACGATCCATTCCACATACTACTTGAATATGATATTGATCGACCTAATAAAAATTGTTGACTATGATTATTATTAGTAGTTTTATAAGTAGATATTGGTAAAAATGTATTAAAATATTGTGAATTAAATGAAGAATTATTATTAGGAAATGAATTATGACGTTGATTTAATTTCAATTGAGATCCAAATAAATATGAACCTGATCTAGTTGATATTAATAATGGATAATTATTATCATTATTCGTTGTATAGTTACTATGACGACCAGTCATATAATCTTGATAAAATTGATTTTTTGAATGTTTTCGAATTCTTTTCCGTATCCATAATATTAATATAATAAAACAAATAATTAATATAATATTTAATATAGCTAATAGAATTAATCCATTTGTTAAATATTCCATTGATATACCATCTTTATCTTGATTGAATACAATTGAAATGGTTTTATTATAATTTGATTTTTGATCTAAAATATTCATTTCTTTATGATTAGGTGACCAAATATTTGATTGATTCATTGAATAATCAATTGGATACATTTTGGTAGTATTCATTTTTAATATTGATTTTATGAGGTTTGTAGTTTTGTTTAGTTTTATCATGAGATTTGTTTGATTTCCAGTAGTAGTACTGGTAGTAGTAGAAGTAGCAGAAGTCGAAGTCGTAGACAGTGAAGTAATAGTGGGACGTATAGATGTTGTCATTAATGGTGTGGTAATAGTCGTTGTCGTTAACGACGTTCTAGGAGTACTGCTTACTATTGTCGCTGTTGTTGTTGTTATGTTTATAGTTGTAGGTATTATAGCCATTGTTGTAGTTGTAGTTTGTATTTCTGTTGTCTGTTGTAAAATAGTCTTACTTGCATGAATATCTGTTGCTGGTTTATCATTATATGATTGTAAACATTGACTAGGATAGTTCATTTTTAAATCTCTAATAAGATTTGTTTGATTGGGATTACTTAAACATTGGTTATCATATAATATTTGCATACCAGTCTCTTGTTTTACTGACTGGGGTGAATTGATTAATGACTTAGGTGAGATCAAATAAGATGGTATAAAGGACTTCAACAGTTTCTCAGGGTTGTCAATCGATTGTTTTACATCACAAATAGGATATTTACTGCGCCAGTGCCAACAAATATAGAGATCGGGACAGTGAGTAAGACGTAGTTGCCAACTTTTCCATGGGAACCATAAACGTCTAAACGAAGGGTTTTGATTTTCATAGTCACAAAACAAAGAAAGACGAAAATAAGGCGGACCTTCGACTAAATAACCTGCATTATTTGATGATTCCGATGTTTTATTTGTATTAGGTATAAAACTATCTTCATCCCAATTGAAAGGGTTCCATAAACTTAAGTGTGTTACACGTGATTTTGTTGCTAGATTGCCTAAATCGTCTCGTCCAAGACGTTTGAAATAAATAAATGAAATTGTCAAATGAACAGGACTTAAAGGCATTTTCAAACTTAGTCGAACTGTTTCAATAATCCAATTTAATACTCCTGGTTTTAAATGACTAATTCGTAATCTTGAAGCACTATTTGACTTTGAAGATAAATCATCAGCGCTTATTGTGGATGGTTTTAACACAATCCGTAAATCATACCCTTTTCCATGCTGTTTAGATTGACGCTGTTGATTAGAATCTGCACCTGGTGACGGTACATGCCAATAATGGCAATCAATCATTGTATCTTCATTAGTAACTTCAAACGATTTACTTTTACAATCAAATGTTAATTCATCTGTAGGAGATAAACGCTTTGCATAACAATAAACATCTGGACATAATGATTCACCAACATCAAAAATTGAATAATTAAATTCATTTCCAACAGTTGATTTGTCAAAATATTTAGATTTATCAATTGATTGATTGGAATTTCTTCTTTTCACAGAAATTGATTCTGTATGATATACATTTTTTGGTGTTATTTGTTCTTTGATAGGAAACTTTAATGGTTTATTTTCTACATCTATATCATCTATTATTAAAGGAAATGTTAAACTATCAATAATGGTAGGTGAATCAATTTGATTCAATTCATTTTGAGCATTTACACTTAACAGTGTCATAACAATTACATTGATTAAACATCTATGAATATACATTTCAATCGATGGTAGTCATATTATTTGTAACATGTTTATTCCAATCTTTCATAATATCCCAATGTGTAAATATTCTCCTAAAAATAAAGATAATTCCAAATAAGTTGATCATCTAAATTTATTTCAATGTTATATATCAGAGAAAGGTATTTCACTAAATCAACTACAGCTGTATACAATGACCACGTGTCCATTTGGTTTAAACTTATATCTCCATTTTCATTGGTCAGCCTGTCGACTTATTTCTGATTGGTTAATTGAGTTAGCCAATCATTATCATTTGACCACATGTTTACATACATAATTAACCATTAATGTTGAAGATATTATAATGAAATCTTTGATTTCTATCATATGTGAATTAATATGCATACATTCTTCATTATAAATGTTTCGTTTACAACTTACCAAACTAGAAAAGCGATCAGGTCTAAATACATTTTAGGTAGGTACATGTCTTACTGTGACATTTAAGAATTTCTTTTCGTTTTAAGTGTAAACAATTAAATTTAGATGATATTACATTCATCTGATGAGTACCAAATAGAACGAAATGTGTGTTCCTTGATTCAATCGCTATGCGTGTATGTGATATAATGCTCTATTGATTCAGTCAGCTCAAGATATGCATATGACAACAAAGATGGATTACATGGAATCCTAATTAACAACAACTGGAAATTATAAGCTCATACTTATAAATCAGTAATCATTTGGTGACATTTTTCAGGTAAACAAATAGTGAATGGCTGAAAATCTTTGCAAAAACTATACTGTTTAGTTGAAATACAATAATACTCAGTTTTAAAATCATTGTCTGAATACCAAAGTTAAATCTGGTTGAATAGGTTTGACGTGCTAAGTCAAATCACTTCAGGAATGAAACAATTACTCTCTAGTGAGATGTATTGTGAATAGAATGAAACTTACAAAATTCTAGACTATTAGATCCTATCTCCTTGGTTAATTGATATTATCGTGATTGAGGTATGAAAATGTGGAACTTATCAAAATGTAGCCAGTTGTCTACTCCCCCCCTTAGTTTTTATTATGCTCTACTAGATATCATTAGGTAATAAAAATGACGTACAAATATGTGAAGTTTTGTGAATGAAAAGTATGAAAGTAAACTAATCTCGTAGCACTTGAAAAGACAAGGAGGTGAAAATATGCAGAATATAACTGTTGATGACAATTTAAGCAAATTAGGATGGTATTGAAAATCTAACCTAAATCACTAAATAAATACATTGGCTAAAAGGAATTCCATTCACATAACCCTAAACTCTACTTCATTTGAACTATTTTCTTCAAGACTGTAGAGTGTTATTTCATTTTCTATTTGCGTCACGCATGAAATCATCATTCGTATATTGCTTGTATAAATTAAATTAACCAATTACTGTAATATTCAAACTAATGTTGTTTAGATTCTGTATAGCCTCCAGAGAAAATTTAGATACTCGACTCTTTCTATAGGAAAATTTGACTTCGAATGGCTGTATTGGATACAGTGTCAATCATATGTATCATAATTATGAAGTACATAAATACCCAAACGAATATCACCACTAGGCCATACGATCGAAAGAGTGATGCTTTCAATAAAGGAAACATGTACAATGAATACATCAGTTTACTTCAGAGAATGAATAATCACAGTCTTTAATAACAACACACATTTATATTAAATAAGCGCAAAGTCGATAACGTGAATCTCATGAGAATCAAAATTGTAGTGAATATACAACGATAAATGTACCAAAACCGTTAACTCTGCATTTTAGGGAAGCTAACAAGTTACCGTCACACATGCTTAAGGACTTCCACATACATTTATAAAAAATGGATCTTGCAGTCACAGGATTCATCAGTAAACTTGCGCTAAAACACTCAGAGTTCAACCAACGTTATTCAAATAATTTAAATCACAGGTTTCTTTCGTTTTGATGACCCACTATATGATTAATCAAAGCAGTTACTGATATCTTTTGCAAATTTTATTGGTTTATTCTATACTCCTCCATTATGCAGTGTATATTTGGATACTATCGTGAACTAAGGTAAATACATTCCATTTGAGATTTTAAAAGCTATTACAGTAACATCGCTTTTTGTTCATACATGACTTGATCAAATTGTAATAACAAATATCAAGTTCCCTAATTCTGATTATTAACCGATTTTCATTTGTTTTAAGTTACAATATGGCTTATGGTGTCACGATGATCTTACATTGAAGTTAATTGGTTGAAAGATTCCACTCCATTCACATATCAAGTATTTTAGTTATAACACAAACTAGGACAAGCTCATTCTAAACAATGATACATATATCATTCGTAAGTAGAATGTATGGTTAATTCGATTATACCATCTTAGAGAAGCTAGTACACGGATTTTCACAGTCAATGCATATTTCCACTCTCACTGATCATCTCAATTGTTAAATTATATTCCTAGTTGATATTATCATAAATGTTAATAATTATAACTTCAGTTTTATTGAAATAATCTTATGTTTACAAATGAGATTCTTTTTACAGAAGAACCTATTCTCATCAGGGAGGGGATTTGTGGATATTATAGTAATTTAATTGTTTAATTCATGATTCAATTGAAGTGAGATCATCATGGAAAACCTGGAAGCACTGGACGGCCGTTTCGTCCTATTGTGGGACACCTCAACAGTGCAAATCCATGATCCCGTCCTGTGAGATTCTAACCCAGGACCTATAAGTTTCGCACGCGAACGCTTAACTTCTAGACCACTGAGCCGGCCGGCATCCTGAAGTGTTAGTGTCTAACTTCGACCAATTCACGAAGTTGCGCCACCATCCACAATTGTCTTCAATGAGATACTATCTCACTCCTCTAGTCACTGCTTTTCACTAGAACTCTAGGAAGTACCTCTTGGAGACCATCACTAGTGAGTATATGATGATTATAATCTTCTATGTCCCAATAAGCATAATGAATGGTAACTTTTGGGATCCATTTATGAACCACTACTATACATATATTTTTTATTGTATCATTGTTAAGTAACTAAACTAATCACATTCTTGTTTCTCTAATTATAAGCTTTATTTGGACCAGTAGACTATTATTATACGATTTACCATTCTTGAATTATGCCCTGTCTGTTAATTACTACCTCCTTCATTCACAGCCACGTTTGGCTAATTCTTGTACAAATATTGTCTCATATTTCATGGTACGGTGTGGTCTGTCTGGTTGATATACAAACCGAGTATGTTTGAGATAAATGATTCATATCACAGTGGTTGAGATTGGTGTTCTGGACTTAACTGGTTGGGCTAGGCGGAAAGCAGGAACGATAAGTACTGTAGACTGCTTGCACGGGTTTATACGTCACTGGTCCGACCGCTAATTCACTGCACTCTAATTGACGGTATCATGACGCTAAACATTAACAGGAAACACAGCCAACAAGTTATAACATAATCAGAAAAGTGTTTATTTGGATATTATATATTATATTATATTCTCAACAAAATATCATTTAAAGTTACACTAGTCACACATAGTTTCACCTGCATATTATACTTTTAAACACACTATTCATTGAAAGCATCATTTGGCACTGTATTCAAAAGAAAACAAAGAAGAAATCTGAAAAGTTTGATCTCATTATCATGATCCATCAATCATTTAAAATTGATCATTGGTCAATCACAAGGTTTACTTTATACTCATTTACTATGATGTACTTTATATTCATTTCAATAGGTTGTTAATTATTCAATGTCATTTAAGTTATATTATTGATGTCTACATTGAAAAATGAAATCTTCATCTAATTAATTCTTATTGATAACAATGATAATCAATAATCCATGTGATCAAAGCGAATGATTCCTTTTTTATTCAATATAGTACATGTTCAATTATTCAACTTTCTTTGTTTTTACATAAAATGAAAAAATTAAACTGTTGTACTTTTACAATAATGAGTAGGTTTTAAAATAAGATATTATGAACTTTAAAGATTAGAAACGAAGATGGATGGTGGTGAATAATGGAATTCAAGAAGAATGTTTCGTCTTATTTAGGACTCATCAGTTGGATGTAGCTATATCTTGGAATTAATGTTCACTTTAGGAATCGAATTCAGTACGGTTCGCTTCAAACGACATCGCGTTATCTACTTAGCTATTAAGTCATAGATTCTATTGCTAGCCACCATCCATCTTTACTTATACTGCTTGTGAATTAAGGTTATATCGAGTTAGTCCGTACAAGATGCACATTTGCCAATAAGAGACTGATCTATTGCAGTCCTAAAGAACAATGGGAAGATTCAAACAAACAATATAAAATGAATTACAAAATTATGTTATGTGGGAACTGGAATTTTTTAATTACTACCACTCTGAATATAAAACAAAGTTTATCGCTTATTTATAACAAATGCATTTCCTGTTAAATCTCTTAAATGCTAAGTCACAATCAGAAATTTTCATAGCAATTTACGTGCAATTGAGTTTGTTCACATTTAATTTGGTTAAACCCTTTTATTAACTTATTTAACGGACAGAGTCATCCGTACTATAACAATTTACATCACTGTACCTTTATTATTGTTGTGCTGGTATGAAATATGTATGCTTGAAAATTGCTTACTAACGATGCATATATTCATTCTGCTAGCTTAGTGTTAGCTGCTTAATTGATTGGATGATTAATTTGCCGGAATCCACAAAACTCATTCTGATATATATATATCAGAATGAGTTTTGTGGATTCCGGCTCAGTGGTTTAGTGGTTAAGTGCTCGCGCGCGAGACCACTAGGTCCTGGGTTTGGATCTCGCGAAGTGGGGTCGTGGATGTGTACTGCTGATGAGTCTCACAACAGGACGAAACGGCCGTCCAGTGCTTCCAGGTTTTCCATGGTGGTCTAGCTTCAAATGACTCATGATCTCAGCTATTGAAATATATACATATTTATATACATTTAATCCCATTCACTCCCGACTCTCTGACTTACTCATTCGCCTCCCAGCTTTGTGGTCTGAGCTATCTGCTAATAAATTGTAGTCGCTGCTTCTCTTTGCCTTCTGATTTTAAACACTGTTGAAGTGTATATAATAACGGTTACGAGGGTGGTTGATTAACGAAACACAGCCACCACAATTAAAATAATGCAAT